AAGGAACCAGTGGACAGCAGGAAGTGTGGAGGTAAACTGTTTTTTCTCTCTCTCTAATTACAGGTGTAAAGAAAACGTTGAAACTAATGAAAACAACACAAAAAGAGGTTTTGAACTTTTAAAGGTCTATCACTGAAGAGACTTAGATCACCTCTGATTACATTATCTGTGTGTTCATTTTGTGTTAGCAAAATATTGCACGCATTACTGAATAAACTTGAATGAAACTCTCAGAAAACAAAGATGTAAAAGTGATTAACTTTTGGAGTCAGACTTAATTCAGATGGCTGCCGTAACTGATTTTAGAAAACAAAAGAAACGCTACAGTTTAGACAAAACATAACGAGCTGAAATTTTATGTGGTGGTAGCTGAGAGTCATTCCCAACACATTCGCTGAGTGACATCATGAGACAACTGTCACTTCTCGTGTTTAATTTAAAAAAGCTGAAGTTCATTTGTTTGGCAACGATTTGCTCTAAAAGATTTGTGGCAAACTGTTTGGCAAGTACTGGGAGTTATTTCAGTTTCTTCATCGCACTCTTTGAATTTTATTCATAAAAATAATGTGTGAAAATGATTAGTTTCAGTGCTTTCATTTTTCTTTCTCTCCCTCTGTCAAAACCATCAGCCCACATCTAATTTCACAACAAAGAGATGAYCAACCAATCAGAGAGCTGAGGAGCCACATGAGGGCAGCGCTGAAACAATTCACTGGTTATTAATAAATCTGTTTTGTGTGTTTTTGATTGATTTTATTAACACTAATGGAGCTGTAAAACTGCTAAACAGCTTGGTTTGAGTCTTCTTACAAGTTTGTCTCTCTTTGTTTAAAAATCAGCTACATTTTCACTTTATTTGTTTAATATTTTTATGAAGAACTTTTGACAAAACTGTTTAAAAACTTTTGATCTGAGACAGCAWAACTCTGATGGTCACACATTTATCTTTACGTTTTTATGTAAAATATGACAAGTTTAAAAGATTTTTCACTTCCAGCTGTGAAGAGAATATTTCGGGCTTATTTTGGGCTAAAATCTAACTAAGTCTAGTTGGTTTAACTGAGAGAAAACCATGAATTCATACAAAGAAGACAAAAATATGCATGTTTCAGTTATTTTTTTATCAAAAAGAGTTGTGGGAGTAAGATAAGTTTGTTTGTAAAAAATATAAAAATTTTAACAGCTCAAACGTCAGTGTTTTTTCTGTGGAAAAATCTGTAAAAACCATAAAACTTCAACTATGTGTGCATAAAATACATTAAATTATCAGTATAAGTCCAGCTTTCTGGCTCGTTTAAACTCAGAAAAATGTTTTTACTGTGAAGCCTGAGCTGCCAAAGCCCATTGACCTTTTCTTTCTACGGCTTTTTGCATTTTCCCCCCCACATTGTGATACACAAAGACAGCACACAACTGAGATGCATATTTTGGAGCAGAGCCGGCTCTTGGCATAGGCGAACTAGGCGGTCGCCTAGAGCGCCATCTGCTGGAGCAGGTGCCGAACTGCAGAAGAAAAAAAGTAATTATTTGTAATYCCTGGTTGTAACTCTGCCCTTTCAATGAGCTTTGTCTTAAAAAAAACTATAATGAAGTATTACAGGAAAAATAAACTATACCTATAAAACAGCCTCACTGAGGATGTGAAAGCGCCCGCTGCGAAGCAGGAGGAAAGGAGAGCGRAAAAAGTTCAAAACCTATTTCTATAGGCAGAACAGGTTGGAAGATGGCTGTTTAATGTTATTTGTTGTTTTTTAAATCATCCTACGGGCTCTGACATGTTAGACAAATTTGAAAATGAGGTTTTGCAAAAAATCCGTAAGAGTTGAAAAAAAATCTGACATTGCTCTAAACGTCCGTATACCTGCAAAATGACATAAAATCCTTATAACTTGTGGACAATCTGTACAAGTTGACATGTATTTATTTGCTTTAGCCTATCTAAGTTTACCACAGTACCTTATACTGTCAAACTTGTTTTTAGGGGTTCAAACTGGGGTGGGTGGGACATAGTTCGGGGGGCTGTGCGTCAACTCGCCTAGGGCACCAAAATGGCTAGAGCCAGCACTGTTTTGGAGGATAATTGGCATGTTTTACCTCAAAGCTGTGCAAAGATTAACAGAACAAAGATTTTGAACAGAAATAAGTGAGATTCCAACCAGTTCTGTGATATTTTAATTTTCAGGACAATGTTTCAAAAACAAGTTTTCCACAATTCCTAAAATAATGTTCATTTATAGAAGAATGTTCCAATATTTAGGTAAATTTAACAATCATGATGTTTCTATTTGGGTAAAGACAGATGGTTTGGGCTTTCATCGGATCAGATCAATTTCAGAACCAATGATTGGCAGAGCAGAACCGCAGAGCTCTCCTCTGATTCCCAGTGTTTTCGCACAAAATATTTCCTATTTGAAAGTGTTTTTAGCAGAAGAATAATACTTTTAACTCCTTTCTGTGACACCCTCCTGCTGCCCTTGGGTCAAAAGGCCTCCTGCGTCACTTTGAGCCCATGCATTGGAAGGGAAAACGTCCCTAAAAGCCCCTGCAGAGAGATTTTCCCAAGAGGAGGCACCTTCCCGAGGCTCTCCTCCTCCAGAGCCCAGGGGTGAAAGAGAGAGAGAGAGAGAGAGAGAGAGAGAGAGAGAGAGAGAGAGAGAGAGAGAGAGAGAGAGAGAGAGAGAGAGAGATGTGTGCTGTTTTTGTTCGAGCTGAGCGACCTGATCATGTATTAACCAGCAGTGATGGGGGTCAGTGCGCGCGGGGCCCTGCAGGGTTTCATCATTAAGCTCAAAGCATTTCGAGGCGGTTCGGTTGTTCCACAAGTTCCTGCTGGAAGACCGTTAAACCGACCCAACCGACCAGATATCTTTGGGTGGTTATGTTGGAGTTAATATGTTGTGCGTAAAATACAACGTGGCCAATAGGCTATTCAATAAAACAGGCTCTTTTATTTTTTTCTTTGTTTTTGTTTTTACCTGAATGCATTTTTTCCTCCTTTAAACTTGACTGATAACAAATGAATTACAGGTTTTATATTCATTAAGTGGAGTGAAACAGGGAACTATTTTCTCGGATAAACAGTCCCTGACGGTTAGAAGAAACTCAAACAGAGAGCTCCATTCCCAGAAGCCGCCGCCATCCTTATAGGAGCCTTTAACTCTAAACACCTAATCAACAACTTGTTTTACCTCATAATTCCCGTCGGTAATGATTTTCTAATACAGTCAGGAGCGCATTAAAGGGGATAATTGTTAACCCGGTGCGCGCACACAGGAAGCAGCGGCTCCAATGACAAAGGCTGCTGCAGGAGGCAGACCTCAGGCCGCAGAGGACAAACTCCGGGAATGAATGTCCGATCTGTGGCCCCGGAGCCTGCAGCTGCAGGGAGGGACTGTTGGGCCAATAAAAAGATGTGGGGTTATTATATTTAATTCAAAACATAAAATTACAAGATGAAAAAAAAAAGATCCCGCAGTTTCTAAAAGCAAATAAAAGGTAAACATCAATTAGAAATTTTAAGGGAAAATGTATGATTTAAAAGTCTCCTATGTTTTAAAATAACACATACGAGTCAATCAGAAAYTGTGCTTTGAGTTGGAAACAGAAATTTATTGGCAAAATAAAAGAATGAGATCAAAGGGAGTTTGGAGAAAAAGATGAGAAAACAGCCTCAACATTCAGAGTTTAAACAGAACTATCATGTTGCTATCTTTTTGTGTTTTTTTTACACAATTAGATTTTACAATATTCATTTTGATTTTTGAATTAATTATATATATTTTTTTCCTTTTTTATGCAAACAATCACACTCCAGCAGACACATCAAAACGTGATACTTTTTGGTTTCTTTTACTCTGTGCTTCTCTCCAATCCCCCCCAAAAAAACACAACAAGCAGCTGAGAATTTACACTTGTTTCGCTCAAAATATTCTCCACAAAACAGTAAAAAGTCTTTCTAACATCTCATGTCAACATTTGACCATCAGAGGCTTCTGCTGATCACAAGTCTATTAAAGGTTTTAGTTTTCCCACAGTGCTGTTGTTTTTCCTGAAGCTTGCTTATCAGTTTCTGTCTGCCTCTCATTTACAGGGAGTGACAGACACAGGTGTGTGGTTACCATGGTAACCACAGCAGCAACTTGAATCATTATTTAGATCTTGGTTGTTCGTACTTCTTATGCAGCGCGTTTTTAAGCTTAGATTTATTTTCTTTATTTGAAATGTGAACTGGTCTGAATTTGTTCATATTTGTCTCGCTGAGGACAGAGACTGATTTACTAAACAAGAACTGATTGTGTAAGAATAATCATCTTGTTTTCAGAATGTGTATGATTATTTGTC